TCTTCGAATTCTCCAGGATCCCCAGGGATTCCTCAGGACACTTCAGGATTCCCCGGGACCCACCATCTCTCCTCAGGACGCCTACTGACCCCTTAGGCTCCCCCATGCTTCCTCAGGATCTCTCAAGGTACCCTTCAGGATTCCTCAGGATGCCTTAGCATTCTTCAGGATTCCCAAGAATTCCTCGGGATCCCCCATGCTTCTTCTGGACTCATCAGGATTCCTTCGGATTCGTCAGGATTCCTCAGGACCCTTCACGGTTCCTCAGGACTCCTCCCGGATCCCAGATATTCCTCAGGATCCCGCAGGAATCCTGGGGATCCCCAGGGATTCCTCTGGATCCCCCCATGGGGTTATCAGGACTCCTTTGGGCTTCTCAGGATTCTTCAGGATATCTTCGAATTCTTCAGGATCCCCAAGGATTCCTCAGGACACCTCAGGACTCCCCTGGATTCCTCAGGACTCCCCGGGTCCCTCCCCCTGCAAAGGAGTCTGATGGATTCTTCCTCAGGATCCACAGTGCTTCTTCTGGATCCCCCAAGTTTCCTCAGGATGCTGAAGGCCTCCTTAGGTTTCCCAAGGATTCCTCAGGATCCCGTCTGGGTGCCCCTCAGGATTCTTGAGAACTCCTTAGCATTCTTCAGGATTCCACAGGATCCATCAGGATCCCTCAGGCTTCCTCTGGACTCATCAGGTCTCCTCAGGATTCGTCAGGATGCTTCAGGATCCATCAGGATTCCTCAGGATTCCTCCCGAGGTCTCATGGTTCGTCATGATCCCAGAGGACCCCCTGGGACCCCAAATGATTCTTCAGGATCCCCCTCGGGTTTCTCAGGATTCCGCTGGGCTCTTTAGGATTCCTCAAGACATACTAAGATTCCTCAGGATCCCCTAGGCTTCTTCTGGGCTCACCCGGATTCCTTTGGACTCGTCAGGATTTCTCAGGACTCCCGAGGACTCCTCAGGATTCCCGAGGACCCCCCCGCCAAAAGAGTTGTATGGATCCCTCCTCAGGATCCACGGTGATTCCTTAGGATCCCCCAAGGTTCCCCAGGATGCCTGAAGACCCCGAAGGAGCCCTAAGGATTCCTCAGGATCCCCTCGGTGTGCCCCTCAGAACTCCTCGGGACTCCTTCGCATTCTTCAGGATCCCCCAGGATTCCCCAGGACCCACAAAGAATCCTCAGGATCCCCTAGGCTTCCTCTCGGCTCTCATCAGGACTCCTTAGAACTCGCTCGGATTCCTCTGGGCCCTTCAAGATTCCGCAGGATTCCTCCCGAGTCCTCAAGATTCCCCAGGATCCCACAGGAACCCGTGGGACCCCCAAGGGTTCTTCAGGATCTCTTCATGGCTTCTCAGGATCCCGAGGGGCTGTTCAGGATTCCTCAGGATATTTCAACATTCTTCAGGATCCCCAAAGACTCCTCAGGACACGTCAGGATTCCGCAGGACCCCCAAGGACTCCTCAGGGTTCACCAGGACCCCCCCGCTCCAAAGAGTCCGATGGCTTCCTCCTCAGGATCCACACTGATGCCTCGGGATCCTCCTCAAAGATTCTCCAGGATGCCTGAAGGCTCCTTACGATCCCACAGGATTCCTCAGGATGCCCTCAGGGCACCCCTCAACCCTTCAGGATTTCTCATGATCCCTTAGCATTCTTCAGAATTGCACAGGAATCCTCAGGATACAGAAGGACTCCTCAGGATCCCCTAGGCTTCCTCTGGACTCATCAGGACTCCTCAGGATTCGTCAGGATCCATCAGGATTCCTCAGAATTCCTCCCGAAAGCCCAGGATTTCTCAGGACCTCACAGAAATCCTCTGAAACCCCCAAGCATTATTCAGGATCTCGCGAGGGTTGCTCAGGATCTTGCGGGCCTGCTCAGGGTTCCTTGGGATATATGAAAATTTTTCAGGGCCCCAAGGATTCATAAGGACACCTCAGGATTCCTCAGGGCTCCCGAGGACTCCTCGGGATCCCCGTCGTCGTCGTCGTCGTCGTCGTCGTCGTCGTCGCCGCCGCCGCCGTCGTCGTGAGGGTCCCTGAGGGTGTCTTAGGTGCACACGGGGCCGGAAAAGGGGGTAGCGCACGGGGGGGCATTTTTTGTTCGCGGAAGGGAAAGCACAGATGACGGCGCATATGGGGCCGGAGTGTACGTTTGCCCACCGCGGCGCGAAACCGCCGCAGATGGCCTCGCGCAGGGCCGGAGAAGTCGTCGTCACACAGCGTCTCAGGCCAACAGACCCACGGAGCCGGAGTGTGCGCCCGTCCACAGGCGGAGTGACACCGGAGGCTCCAGCCCTGACCTGGGCCAGAATGCACGTCTTTCCGCTGTTGTTGTTGTTGTTGTTGTTGAACTTTCATTTCGGAAGAATAATTATTGTTGATCACCCCCGTCCGGTGCACATTCTTTTTTTCGATTGAGGTGCCCTTCCCGGGGCTCGCACCCTGTTTTTTTCTATCAAAGAAAATCTTGAAGGTCACACTGTGTTGTTGGCCCCCGGTTTACAACAACAGCGGCTCCCGCCTGATACTTCCTAACAATTTATTGAAGAATCGCCCTCTCGCTTCGGACCGCATTACAATTTACCGCCGGATCGCGGCTCCCGCTTGGTACTTCCTCACAACGTATTGAAGAATCGCGCTCTCGCTTTGGACTTCCTCGCGACTTACCACCGAGTCGCGGCTCCCGCCTGATATTTCCTTACAATTTATTAAGATTCCGCTCCTAGACACTAATCGCGCTCCCGCTACATGTTGCCTGGCGGTTCAAGCAGAGTTTACACTTCAACGACCCGCCCGCTCGACCCACCCGTTTGGGCCTGCACGCCCGACCAGCCCGTTAGGGACTGCAGTCGCCGCTCGCTGCCCTTCGCCCGCCTTCGATGCCCCTCGCTGCCCGTGTTGGTTCCGCTGTCGCCCTCGCTCGCTGCCCTTCGTGTCCCCATTGCTGCCCTCAGTAGCCCTGTCGCTGCCCATTGTGGCCCCGCATTCTATGCCCTTCGTGGCCCCCGCTCGCTGTCGCCCGTCGTGGCCCCATACGCGTGCCCTTCGTAGCCCCGCTGTCGCCCTTCGTGGCCCTCTCGCTGCCCTTCGTGGCCCCTTTGCCGCCCTCAGTGGCCCCGCTGTCGCCCTTTGTGGCCCCATATACGAATGCCCTTCGTGGCCCCCGCTCGTTCGCGCCCGTCGCGGCCCCATATGCATGCCCTTCGTGGCCCCGCTGTCGCCCTTCTTGTCCACTCCATCACAATCCACTCCACATCCCCGCGCTCCTCTCGACACGGTTGCAGTTCTCACTATCCTCCCGCCCCACTCTCCCAAGATCCCGCTACTTTTGAAGGTTCCACGGAATTTGTTTCTGACGCCCGTTCGCAGCTGTGCGCCCCCCCGTGGGGGTATCCACAATATGTTTTTCAAGGGGTGGTACGTGGCGCTGTTTATAGCGCGACCCATGGCGAAACTTATTGTTAACCTGTGTTGGAGGGGCTGGCGCAAGCCATGGCGCAAGCTGAATCGCCACTCGCAGCGCAAATCATCGTCCTCCCTCCTTCTTGCCCCTCCCCTCCCTTCCTCCGATCCCTTCGTCCTCATTCTCCTCCGTTATCTGTTGCCCTTCGTTGTCAAGGGCTTCACCAACCACACGTGGCAGGGAATGAATGTACCCCCCAAATGGGGGTACGATCGAAGACGAAGGGGGCAGGTATCCAGGGTTTGGGATCTGCAGATTGACTGACACGTGAGCAGATAAGGGCGAACATTATTAAAATGATTGTTGTTGTTGTTGTTGTTGCTGTTGTTGTTGTTGTTGTTGTTGGGGGGCCGGTTTTGGCGGTCCCCCAAACCACTTGAGAGTGAGCCTCATTTTCAATGAAACTGCAGCCGACGCCTCGGCGAGAGCGCCAGGGCGCCTGTAAGGGGTCCAACGATCTTAACTGTTTATTAATTAGCATTCAGCAACACCAACAACAGCAGCGACAGCAACGACAATAACACCAACACCAACAACACCGACAACAACACCAACAACAACAATAATAATCATTGTAAGACTTCTCGCTCTTACTGGCACGCTTGTCTTGTATTCCGTAGACCCCAACCCTCGATACCCGCCCAAGCCGTCTTCGATTGCACCCCCTTTCGGGGGGAATCTCTTCCTTGTCGGCCACTCACTGAAATGCGAAGAAGTCTCGAGCGAGAGCGCCGTTCCTTAATTCGGGGGCCTCTCTGGCCAGGGGCTCTAGGAATACCTATGGAGAAGTATCGAACGGGAGCCCTTGTCGCAGTGTCCAGGCCTCCATCAACATTCCTGAATTACGGGCAAGTATCGAGCGAGAGCGCCGTTCCTTAGCTCGGGAGCCTTGTTGGCCAGGGGTTCTCGGAGTAAATCGTGAGGAAGTATCATGCAGGAGCCCTTGTCGTCGTGGCTCGGCCTCCGCCAACTGAATTGAATTGCGAGGAAGTCTCGAGCGAGAGCGCCGTTCCTGAGTTCGGGGGCCTCTCTGGCCAGGGTGTCTCGGGGTAAACTGTGAGGAAGTACCGAGCGGGAGCCGTTGTTGTCGTAGCTCGGCCTCCAGGTGCCTACATTTAGGCTCTAACCAACGCTCGAGCGCGAGCCTCGTTGTCAGAGAGCATGTAGTTGGCGTCGAGGCGAGAGCGCGCGGAACCGTGTCCGGAGATCAACAATACTTAGTCTTTAGAAATGAGTATTCAACAACAACAACACCAACAATAACACCAACACCAACAATACAAACAGCACCACAAACAACAACAGCAACAACAACAACACCAACAAAAACAGCAGCAACAACACCACCAACAACACCACCACCAACAACAACAACAACAACGCAACAAACATAATCCTCACCACGAATCCAAAATTTCAGCCACGCACCCGGGGCCAATGAATGACCGTTCGGCCCCCTCACTCTGATACCAACCATCGTCCAGGGCGCTGATGCGTGACGAGCTCCCATGGGCATTTCTTAACCGTCACCCCACATCACCATTACGGGGCAATCAACTTTGTGCAGCCAGCACGTGGACCAACTCTTCAGGCTGGGACCGCTAGCATTGCCCGTGTCAAGGCTCGGTACTCTGCTCCCGACGGCGAACAGAAGCCGAGCAGCAAGCAAACATGTATGGTACACATCGTGCTTTCCTTCTGAAAGCGGCTCTGGCGCCAGAGCACGCGGCTCCGTTCCGGAAGCAGCCGTGCCTCTCCGCGCCAGGCGGATGGCCGCACTTCTTGGCGGCGGGAATACGGGCCGGGCGAGGAGGCCAGCGCAGTATGGAGGATCGGGGATCGAGAAACGAGGATCCATGGTCGAAGGTCGAGGAGCGCTGGCCGGAGGCCGCCAGCTGACCATCCCGCCGATCCTGGCCAGCCCAGGATCGGTGAGGTGGTGTATGGACGGCCCCCGACGGCTGGAGGATTGTAAGGTGGCTGCGCAGAAAGGGCAGGAGGGTCTTCAAGAAAAGCACCCTTGCCTTGCTGGAAGGTCGCCGCGCCCGCCCTGCCCCCCTGTCTGCGCGCCGCCGAGCTTCGTCCTCAGGCGTCCTCCCGCTCACCTCGGGGAAGAACATATACGGTGAGGGCATTGGGTAAGGAACCGGCCAGAGCGCGACCGCATCAGAAGGACGCGCGGTCATGATGCAAGGCCCTTGGACGCCAAAGCCGAAGCCGAAGTTGGAAACCCATGGCGAAGGGCCAGGATGGGCCGAGAGGCAATGCTGCAAAGGCACCCTTCGAAAGCAACTCGCGCAGACGATGCGGTTTCACTGTGCTCCCCAAACCTCTCCCAGGGCGACTCCGAGGCGGATCCAGCCGTGGCGACGAAGGCCCCTCAAGGAGGCCCGCAGATGTGAACGCGGGGTGAGGGCATCGGCATCGCATCAGAGGGCACGGCTCTGATCCTCCGAGCCCTCCCTGCTCCCTGTTCACCGCTCACCACCGGCGCGCTTCGGCAGGACATTCCGCCGAAGAAGCGCCAGAGCAGCGACCCGCCAGCCACGCCCTCATCCTGGGCGGCTGCGTGGCCTGCGCGGGGCCCGGGAGCGGCGCGCGGACCGATCGGCCAAGCTCGTCGGGCGTCCTTCTCGCCGCCGGGGGGGCGGCGGCGCCCGCTTGCCGCCCCTTGGGTTGAGGAGATCGGGAGGATGGGAGAGGAGGAGGAGGAAGAGGAGGGGAAGGAGGAGGAGGAGGAGGAGGAGGAAGAGGAGGAGGAGGAGGAGGAGGAGGAGGAGGAGGAGGAGGAGGAGGAGGGAGGGAGGAGGAGGGAGGAGGAGGAGGAGGAGGAGGAGGAGGAGGAGGAGGAGGAGGAGGAGGAGGAGAAGGAGGAGGAGGAGAGGAGAGGAGGAGGGGGAGGGGGAGGGGAGGGGAGAGGGGAGGAGGAAGAGCAGGAGGAGAGTATGAGAGGAGAGGAGAGGAGGAGGAGAAAAAGGAACAGGAGAAGAGGAGGAGGAAGGAGAGGAAGAGGAGGAGAGGAGAAGGAGGAAGAGGAGGAGGGAGGAGAAGAGGAGGAGGAGAGGAGGAGGAGGAGGAGGGGAGGAGGAGGAGGAGGAGACGGAGGAGAGATAAGAGAGCCAGGAGAGGGATGAGAGGAAGGAGAGGGAGGCGAGGGAGTGAGGAGCGAGGAGGATAGGGGAGAAGAAGAGGAATGAGGAGGGGGATGAGGAGGAGGATGAGGAGGAGGATGATGATGATGAGGAGGAGCGAGATGAGATGATGAGGAGGAGGAGGAAGAGGAGAAGGAGGAGACGGAGGAGAGGGAGGATGATGATGATGATGATGATGATGATGATGAGGAGGAGGAGGAGGAGGAG